TATAATAAACTAAACTTTGTTCAATTAATACTATCATTTTTGTATTTGGTCAAATATTTGTGGATATTTGTTTTCTCTCACCACATATTTTCTCTCTTTTTGTATAATACCCTTGATTTTTGCTTCTTGGCCTACAAAGCCTAAAAACTTACCATCTGGCCCTCTGAGGAAAAAGTGTGACAGCAGTTGCCTGGTAGGTTACTATTATTCCTGGTGCAACACCACCTGAGAACCTCCTAACAATGCAAATTCTTAGCCTATCCCACACATATTGAATCCAAGTTTTTGAGGATAGACCCCATAATTTTTTTTTAATAAGCTTTCTAGCTGATTTTTATATAAGCTAAAACTTGAAAAAGAGTATTAGGTTTTTGAGGATTTATCCCCTTGGAAAAATATTTGCTTCTTTGAATCAGTAAAGTGGGGAGAGTCACTCAATTCCTAAAACTGTTAAAAAGATTAAAATTAAATTTGGAGCATGATAACTGATATTAATAATTCTTAATAAATGGTAATTACTCAATGGTGTACTGGCACCTCCTGCACTAGCCCATGAGATAATGATTACTAAATTTTTAGGAATTTTATGAGATAGTTATTAAAAGTTATTATTTAAAATTATATACTTTAAATGAGTTACATTAAAACAGGTTATATTCAAAACCATCATTACTTAATTACTTTACATTTTGCTATTATCTACTCTCATTAGATGATGTCTATACAGAAGACATACTACATAATGATGTGCTGCATCTGATCTCTTCCCAATTCTATACTTGTTGACACCATTTTGGTAGCTTGAAATCTGCAATGGTGGGAATATTTACAACACAGGAAATTCACAGCCACCACAAATTTGGTGTTTCTGGAGAAGGGCTTTTGGTTAAACATTTACCAGCACACCTCTGGTTATCATTATTTAAAATTATACAATTAATACCTGCAGAGATGCCTAATAATTTGCTAAGTAAAAAGAATAGCCCAGATAGATACATACATACATTCCATTCCCTATAATCACTCCGTGAAAAACTGAAAAAAATCATCAGAAGGACTTTGGAATTTACAAGTACAGCTAATCATAGCTAGCAGCTCAATTTAACCACCTCCTTTTATCACTACAGTCCTTGGTTTTAACTCCTGGAATGCTTGTAGTAACAACTGTATAAATAGATGCACTGGAAGAAATTGTATTACTCTGCAGTTTGAATCCAGCATCTGTATCTTAACCAGCAGAATAAATGACTTTTTGGGCATTTATTTAGACAAAGCTAATAAATTATCTTAAACCCTTTCACTGCAGCATCAAGTAGATTAGCATTTGAACAATAAAGAGAAAAAAAAAACAAGTTATATTGAGATGAATATAAGACATCAATGATACTAAGTATATTTCAAACTTTAGTTTCAAATAGTCATAGAATTTTAGAATCAAAATAATACTTTGTAATTGCAATGGTTTGAATGTTTTTTGCTCCCTCCAAAACTCAAACTGGAAAATAATTCCCAATGACAGATATTATTAAAAAGAGAAAAAAAAATGTACTATGCTAAGTTATAAAGACCTAAGTAGAATGTCAAAGAAATAAGTGTACAGCACTATAGTGAAATTACAAAGTATTCTCAGGCAAGAAAAAAGTATATACTACTCCCTATAAAGTGTAACATTTTACTGCATAAAAATGTTTTAAGTCCAAACTCTTCTTCAGTTTGGCCTTTAAGATCTCATATTATCTGGTTGTTATATATTAATATTTTTCCATCTCTGTTAACCATTATTTCCTTATATTTTGTTCTAGCCAAACATAGCTATTTAATAATATCCCAGAAATTCCTCAAATATTTCCTTATGTTCATGTTATTTCTCTCCCCTCTCCATCCCAATTAACAGACACCTATCTACTTTTCAGAAACGTCACTGATCTTTGGTTAAAATAATATTTCTCTAAGACCTCTTCTCTATCCCTCAAATCTGTAATTTATGCAAAAGCCTTTTATATCACTCATACCTTTATTTGTTATTATAATTATTTGTGTATTTGTCATATTGTTCCTGTTAGGATTATAAGAAACCTGAAACATGAATGTCCTTTTCATTTTTGTCCTCTTACAAAACACTGCATACAATTTATATTTAATAAATAATATGTTAAACTTATAATAAAATGTATACAAAAAATAGTTGTGGTCCACAACAGAAATTTTCCTTTACTTTCCTGTGGAGAAAATCACTGCCATAAGAATCTTTTTTTAAAAAACTTCACTTTCTTCAAGAAGATGACTAAAAAGCAATTTTCCCCCTATCATTAACCAGTTATCTTATGGATTATTATAACAACTTCCTTGGCTCAGATATAAAATTGCTTTCCAAGATTCCAATTTTATTATATTGTATGTGCCACTGATCATACACCAAACCACATTACCACTGAAAATGGTAGTTTAGAAGGAGATGGTTGCCTGAGGTTAATCCAAAGCCTGTAATACAACCCAACCTTTTTATCTGGAGAGGCAACACTACAATGATATTTCTAAATACCTGTTTCTTCTATATCTTCATAATATCTACCAACCCAAATGTTTGTTCCCAGCCTATACTTTCAGGTTTAAAAGTTAGAAATAATAGGTGGTTTTAAGAACTAATTTGCCAAAGATTTACTGAATACCTACTAAGTGAAAAGCACTGTAGGAGACACAAAAATTAAAAAGATATTATTTTCATATTCTGGAACTCAAGACTAAATGCATAACACACACACCCATAACTCCATTTCCAGGTAGATTATGTAAGTACTAAAAATTTTCTAACAAGGTACAGATACTATGAGGAATGAGATTAATCTAACCAATGCTTCAAAATAAGAGATGGATTTCTATTTGGCCTTTATTATTTTAAAATAAACAAGAGTATTCAACAATTTCAAGATTACTTTTAAGTAGATAATTTCATTTGTTTCATGTATTTTTATCCACCAGTTCTGCAACAAAATCAGATATTTTTCCCACCAAAAAGTAATGTTTCAACATTTATCTTTTAATTAAATGGATTTTTAAAGCTCACTTTAGAATATGGAAAAATTTTACAGGCAAAACTTGTGTCCTGTATGTTTAAAAGAAAAACACAGTATGTTCAATAATCTGATTTAATATTCATTAAAAATTCTGCTCCTGGAAAAAAGACAGGTATGTATAAATGGGCCATCATATTTTTACTGAAATCTGTTCAGCATATTAATAATACATTAAAAGGAAAACTGAAAATAAAATTCAGGGTTTTAGAGCATTTTTCATTCATACCCCTCCTGCAACACTGTCTCCTTCCCACTCTATGGCCAAAGGTCTGAATCAGAGCTTGGACCACTTGCTTTTCCAGGAAGCTCCAGGACACCATTTCTAGATTTTTAGAGACTTCCTTGAAGGTTTTGAGTTGTCATGACCTAACTCTGGACATGCTGAGCACTGTATTGACAGATGAAAGGGCCACACTCATCTCAAACCTAAAATATAAGGAAGGAGTGGGAAAAGTCCAAGTGGATTGATGCCAATGGAGCAAATTTTAAAAAGAGGAAATTATGATAGATAGGAGTGGAAGCAAGCTGGAGAACATGTAGAAGCGAGGTATTCCAAGTTCCTACTATTAAAAGAAACTTTCAGCTCTTAATTACATTGCAGAATGTATCAGACATTTCTGTAATGACCGAACAGTTAAGCAATACATGATGAAAAATTTTTGTGTTAAATTATGCATAGTTTTATAAAACATATTTGCTTTGAAATATCTCGTCCAAACCAATCTCTTTGAGATTAACTATAAATATAAAGGAACTAAAATCAGATTATGCAGATTTGGGCAGGGGAAGCTGGGAACGAATAACTAGCATGTAAATTCGGTAACAATATGTTACAGGGCGCAGTTTCCTGCTACAGTAGACAAACTAAGAAACCAAGAAAACGGCTCCAGGAGAGAAAGATTGAACACTGTAGTCATCTAACACTAATTCAACAGCTAGCGCCTCTACCCAGCCTCACCTTCCTCATGGCCTCTGACAAGTCATCATTTCAAACTATGAAGCTGTCCGCTCTCCCCCAAGGAAAATATTTTCCGAGCAGGTTGTAAATTCATCCCTAAACTACTTGCTTCCACTTCCCCGCCCCGGGATGAGCAGTTCCCAAGATGGGGAGAGGTCGCACTGACAGGGAAGGAAGTTACACCAAGTGATCTTTTCTCGCGGTCCGACAGGAGCCTCGAGTCGGGCCGACGCGGGAGCAAGGAAGCGGGCGGCCTCCGGAGCAACTGGGCTGGGGCAGCGGATGCGAGCCCGTTAAGCAGCTCCTTCGTGCCGGCACCAGCAGGAAGAATGGAGGAGGGGAGGCAAGGAGCGAGTGCCGGGAGCCGAGCGGCGGTCCGGCCCCGCAGCCGACCCCACCCCGGCTCCGGACCCTCCCAGTCCAGCAGCGGGCGTGCGTTCCGCGTGCGCCGACTCTCCCCAGGGGAAGAGCCACCGCCTCGCAACCGTGGAATTGAGAAATTCGGCAACTTTGCGCGAGAAATGCTTCCCACCCTGCAGCATACTGAGAAAGAGAAAAATGTCAGGCGATGACGGGGGAAAGGATGACTTACCCATGTTCCTACCAGAGGGTGAGGACCGACAGGGCGAGACGAAGGTCTCTGGTGCGGGCGGCACGGCAGTGTCCTCCCTCTATCTCCGAGTCTCCCGCAGCCAGTGAGGGACCCGCGGGGGGCAGCCGCCAGGGAGGAGCAGCTGCTGCTGCTGCAGGCGGCGCGGCCGCGGCGGGGACGAGCGGCGGGGGGCGGGGCGGGGCGGGGCGGGGCGGCAGGGCGCAGCCTGCGGCGGGCGCGGCTCCGAGCGGGCGGGCGGGCGGCGGAGGCGCCGAGCCGTCCCGAGGAGCGCCGGCCCAGACGCGCGGCCCGGAGAGCCCCGCCCTCCCCACTGAGCATGCTCAGTGCCGCTTTCCCCCCCCTCCTTCGCGCCGCTAGTGAGCCCGAGCGCGCGGGTGGGCGTGTTTGCGCACCGGCTACAGCCGCAGCGAAGCTTGATGGCGGCCGTCTGAGGGGCTGAAGCTGGTAGGCCTGCAGAAGGCAGGGCATAGGGATACTGAATTCGAACTGCTACTAGCTGATTTACCCCAGGCTGGCATTCTCACCTATACCTCACACTCGGAATTCGGGGGGGGGGGGCGCATTCGTTATAGGACGACCGGCTGCTCTAGCCAGAGTTCCCCTGAGAAGAGGCTGAGCCAGCCGCCTCAGACTCGGGAGGGGTAGTGGAAAGCAAAGCGGACGCTGAAAGGGAGCAGGAACGCACGTGTAGGCGGATGAGGCCGGCTCTTATAGGGATACCCCAGGACGCCCGTGGGCACGCAGCGGGGGCGGGCGCTGGGCAGGTACTTAATATCAGCTGGCATTTCACTGGGACAGTTGAGGTTGCCCTAGCTGTGGCTAGCCAAAAAAACGGGTTCTGGCAGCTGAGTACGCTGACCAGAGAGCGTGTCGCTCTCCCTCTCCGAACATCGCGGCCTCCACTCCCCGAAGGGCTCCTGTAGGGCCCTCAAACAAGGGTGCCGTCGGGCTCCACCCCTCCGGGAAGTGCCAGCTCCGCCCCGCTCGTTTTGAGCGGGAGGAGGAACATTCTCAGGCCTGAAAATAAGCTAAGCTAACCCACGGATGCTCAGTTGTCCTGGACGCCGCCGCCGGTTCCTGACATCCCCTGGGTCTCGGGGAGGCCTTGAGCAGGGACGCTCCCCTTGGAGGGCGCCCTCGAGACTAGGCATGCGCACAGCTTTTGGGTCTGCTGCCCTGGAGGGTGGAGGCCAAAAGAAACCTTTGATTTCTTTTCCCCCTAGTCTTGCTCTGACCTCCTAGGGTGACTGGGAAGACGAATCTGGACGCTATCCCAAGGCTGTAGCGACCGCAGTCTTGCAGGGCAAAGGGACAGTCAGCTCTACAACCTGTGGGAGAACAACTGAGTCTTGATTTCTTTCTCCTTTCAACTTTTACCCCTTCAATCAGATGTTGAAAAGGGTTTTTCGTCGTTATCGGCTCACCCTTGTATGTTATTGCTTGTATGACTTATATTACAAGCTTACAAATCAGAAGGGGCCCTTGATCTGCTAAGTAGGGAGATTTTATGTGATTTTTCTAAAACAAAAAATTGCAACATGATAATTATAGAGAAATATTGGTAAAACTGCGAAATACAATTTGCAGAAGTCAAAGAATTGGATTTTTCTGATGTGTAAGTCAGGCACTTCACTCTTAGGATTCGAGAACGCTCTTCCTGTTTGCCTCAAAATCATCTTACACGCTTAATTAGTTTCCTGGGACTGATGTAACAACTACAGTAGTGGTTTAAAACAACGGAAATTATTGTCTGGAATTCTGGATGCAAGAAGTCAAAGTGTGAGTAGGGGGTGCTCCCTCTGAAGGCACTTGGAAAGGTTCTCTTCCAGGGCTCTTCTAGCTTGTGGTAGTTCTTTGACTTCTGACAGCATAACCACAAGTTTCACAGGATGTTCTCCCTGTTTGTGTTCAAATTTCTCTTTCTTATAAGAGCACTACTTATTGAAGGGGGGGCACCCTACTCTAGTATGACCTCGTTATTCTTAATTGTATCTGCAGTGACCCTATTTGCATATAAGGCCACCTTCTGAGATGGTGCCAGTGCTGAGATGGGAAGAGTGCAGGACACAATTCAATCTGTAGGGCACCAAGGCAAGTACCTTACCATGCTTGCATACTTGCACACATACCTGCCAAATTCCACAATCATTATTTTATGTGTCCAAAAGACAACTCTGGGCCTTTGTATTGTTGCTTCTTTTTTCTTTCACTCCTTTCACTAATCTCTTTCTAATTTTTAAGTTCATTTGCTTTATTTTTTTTCCTGCTGCATCCTTTTCTAATTATATTTTATACTAATTTCATAAAGCATCTTCTATCATTTGGACGTATGAGTTGAAATTAGAAAAAGTGGCTTTGTGACCTCCCACCAACATTAGTTCAAGCACCTTTTTGTTTTGGCTTGAATCCACATCCATCCTTTCAACCTTCTTACGATTAAAAACGGCTGGCGCTGTGGGGCACAGTGACCCATGAGTGTGATCCCAGCTATTGGAAAGGTTGAGACAGGAGGAATGCAAGTTTGAGGCCAATCAAGACAACTTAGTGAGACCCTGTCTCAAAAAAATATAAAGTGGTAGACATGTAGCTCAGTAGTAGAGGGCCCCTGGGGTTCAATTCCCAGTTCTGCAAGCACACAAAAACCAGGGGGCTATTCAGACATAATACTTCTACAGAACCCCAGGGACTGGAGCATAATCATAGAGAGACCCAGTAGTGATTGCTAGGTACAGAAGTGGATCACTGCTTCCACATACAACACTACCTGCCTCTCCTGTCATATTCATTACCTCTATGAGACCTTCCCTGTCTGTCTTACCTAAAATGTCAATACTTTCCCACTTTATATCCCTATCTATACTTATTTCATTAACACCAGTAGGATGATTATATATTATATCTATATGTGTGATATAGCTCCTTTTGTCTATCCCATTTAAATGTAAGTTCCCTAAGGACAGGAGTTTCTGTTTTTGCCTTATTTGCCATTATATGCTGAGACCAGTACTACTACAAAGCAATGTTTAATAAAAATTTGCTGTATGAATAAATCTCTTTTTTTTCCTTTTTAAATGATATTTTATCCAGAAAGAGCAAGAATGGTATTGATTCTCTTTATAATATTTCACCAAGTAAAATTAGTTATTCAATAAATAATTATAATGTTGATAACAACTACTGTCTCTGCTGTTTCTATCTTAAACTGTGAGGTACCCTACTGGGTAGAGTCCTTATACTAATTAATTCACTCATTCTGTTCATAGAGATTTGTGAATATCTACTATGTACCAGATACTATGATAAGCACTTAGGATGTAAAATCAGATAAATTATGGTCCCTGCCCTCAAACAGGTCATATGCTAGAAAAATTGTTTTGATAATACTTCCCGTTATTGATTATAGAAAATATTCTCCTGATACCCTGCAACTTTTCCAGGAATCTTTCTACTAGTGCCCATGCTGCAGGTTAGGCAATGGCCAGAATTTGATTAGGCCTGCTACAAAATAAAAGAGGAAATTCTGGCCTCATTTAGTGGTTTTCAACTTTTAGCCATGAAGTATGATATTCATAAAGTACAATGTATTTATTTGAAAAACAAGTTCTTTTAAAAAATAGTCTTATGTTTTGCCAACTATTATTTTGGGGGAAAAGTATCAAAGAAAATGTCTATTAGAAAAGATCAGAAATAGTACATTTTGGCAATCCTTGTAATATACTCATTGATACATGTAACTAACCTTAAAGAAGTTAAAAGGTGATATAAATTCTTTAAAGGAAATATGCTGGGAGGGACAGTGGGAAAAGAAATAGAGGAAAGAATGTCTTTAAAAGAATAATAGAGAACTGATTGCCTCTTCTTTGCCATCGTGTTCTGAATATCATTTAAAGGAATCTCACTGGAGTAGGTTAACTGAACTTTGCAATAGTACAAAATAATTTGGGAGTGAACAGTCTTTGTACCTAAACTGTTTTAAAAAGCCCTCATTGGTTAAGTTAGATAAATTCAGGTTGAACTAACTGAGATGTCTTAACCTTGTTGTAACACCACCTCGTTTACTTAATATATTAACCATTTTCTAAATCTTATGAAATTTGAATTTTCTTTTTTTCCTATTCTGTCATCTCAAACTAATGTCTACATATTTCCAACAACTCTAACTCTTTGTTTTTTACATATATGTATTTATATTAGATGGGACATAATATTTCAAAATCAATTGACTAGTTGTTGAGCATCTCTTCTAAACTTGATACTGTGCTAGAAATAACTACAAGTACATATCATGCAAAACAAGAGAGTAAGGCCAGTCTATTTTAAAGTCTCTTCTTATTTGAAAAATCAAAATTTGTGAAGGCAAAACATGTAAAGAAATGTAGCAAAGAAGTCAAAGATGGTTTCATAAGAAGGTATTTAAAGGATTGTTAAGTATTTTTTAGAAATCATAAGGGGAAAGGAATCTATGCCAAGAGAAGGAAATAGAATGAGCCAAGGCACAGGTGTATTTATCAGACCATTAAAAAAGGGCATCTACTGGGGAATATTTGGGTAATAAGACTGGAAATTTAGTATGAGGGACAGATTGTGAGAGACTGAAAAAGCCAGGCAGAGGAATTTAAACTTTATAAGCTTGGAAATAGGGAACCATTGAAAGTTTCCGAGAAATGGAATAACATGGTTAAAACTATTGAGGCAGAAAGAGTGCATTAAAGAAAGTAATATGTATTGTCATTTAAGTAATATTGTAATTTAAATAATATTGAGAATATGTGTCATTCTTTCTAGGAAAAAGGTACACAGGGTGAACAAGACAGTTTTGTCTCAAGGATTATAGTGATAGAGACAGACAAGTATGTGGTTAAAATAGAGTGCCATTACAACCACAGTGGGGTAGTGAGGAAAAATTGGTTAGAATATTTAATCCTATCAGAGAAAGCATGCTGGAGAAGATGCTACTTAAGCAGAGACCTGAAGGATGAATAGAAGTCAAGGAGGCAGAAAACTATATGGGCACAGGCCTAGAAGCAAGAGTGAATTTTTGAAGAATCTGCATGCAGTTCCTCATGGCTAGAGTGGGGCATGCAGAGATGTGGGGAAAGGGAGAGCCAGGGACAAGAGTGGACAGGTAAGAGGGATCAAATCTTGATTTGATGGCTGAGATTGGTATTGGATACTATCCTGAGGGTAGCCAAGAGACACTAGAGGGCTTTAAGTTTGAAAATGACAACATTAAGGTTATATTTTAGTAGTTGCAAAGTAGAAAATGACTAAGAATGGGTTATATACTGGAAGCTAGGGGACTGTTGGAAAACTCTCAGAACATTGTGAGCTGAAAGAAAAGTGGGATTAAAGAATAATGGACAGTCTTGAGAAATACTAAGTATGATGTGATTGATTAGAGGTTGTGTGGTATTTATTTTTAATAATAACACTGCATGGGAAGT